TTTAAAGTCAGGCTTGCTGTCTTTCTGAAAGATCTTGAGCTATTGAGCAAAATTTCTTGGCCTGCTTTATGGAAAGGTCAGATGAGATGTTCGTAATGGCCTCTTGTAATGCCAAAAATCAGTCTCTGACCCTTGTAATGCCACAGGAAAGGATATCACTGACTTCAGACAGAACTGGATGAGATTTATTGACCTTTCTCATTAGGAATGAGGGTTGTCTGCAGAAACTCCTATGTGATTTCTGAACTCCAGGCATGTGTCTATTGAGCTCATTATGTAAATAATGTTGCCTTTGGTCCTGTTTGAATTTCATAGCAGTTTAGAGAGCTCAAGACAACCAGAGGTTGCTAGGACATTGTAGGACTGAACTTTCTCTTTCGATCCTCAAATCTCCAGAGGAAACTGTATTTGTCAACAATAACCACTGTGTCTGAAATAATAAACTACATTATTCTGTGGAGATGTTTACAATCCTGAAACTTTAACATGATTTTTCACACTGTAGTGTAATTCCTTTTCCTGGGGCCTTCTTATTTGCAAATACACTATTGACTCTGCATTTGGATCCTAAGGGCTTTTAGAAAAAGGAGTTAATTGCATGTGATTTGGGGTGATTCTCTGACATATTTCACTCTACAATGAAAACAGCTTTCTTCTGTCTCAGTAGCTCTTGAGATTGCTGTAAAATGTATACATTGGTCTCCTCGGTCTTTTAACAGTCTGAAATTAATGTTTTATCACTGGATAAATGAAATCTGGGGGTGACAAGAATTTTCTCTGAAACACAAAAGACAGGATGTATGAGCAACAAATTATAAAAATAATCTTCAATTCAATTCTTTCAATTTTGCATTGTTGTTAATAAGGACTCCAAAGGGAGGTACCTTTATGTATTTCATGTACTTCTCTGGGGGGAAAAACATCTTTTCATCACAGCCAAATGAAATCTGTTGTCAAGAATATGATCTACCCAAACCTATCTTCTACAGAAAGTAACTCTGTTTCTCTGTTTTGAATGTATCTGCTGAACTTATCTCCTCAGATCAGTTCTCCCAGTTCTGTTCTGAGCTAGGGATTGCTTTGTCCTAATGCAGAATATTTTTATGTAATTATCCCAGAGCTTGAACTACAAGGTAAATACAGAAATAAGGTTTTAAAGTTCTATTTATGAAAGGGGCAAATATTTGTTCAGTTCTGAGAAAATTATGTTAAAATCCCCACATCACAGTGTTAGCAAGAAAGATAATCTGCATATGATCAGCTGATGACATATTTGTACTTTTTCTATGGATTCTTTATCATTATAAAATATTGTATAATTATCTTATAACTTTAATCCAAAAGCATTACTGCTAGTCTCACAATGCTCTTATAAAACATGTATTTATAAATATGATCTATTTATTTTACTCAGCACTGCGTGATATACAGAAAGTTCCGTGACTTCCTTGGGAGCACATAGCTAAAAAACAGAACAGCTCTAAGATAAATACCTGACCTCACTGACGTCAAAGGCAAAACTCCTAGTGACTTCAGTGAGGTCAGATGATCAGACTCCAATTTTTATTTTTTATTTTTTTTCCCAGCAGTGTGGCTTTGCTACTCAAGAGCTACACCACCCCCTTACTTCCAAACACTCAATGCCATTAATCTGTAAAGCTGATCCACTGATGGATTCTGTCATGGATTCAGGGAAGTACAGTGTTCAGCCTCTGTAGGGGTGATTTTAGTTCAAGAAAGTCCCACCTCCCAAGATAGACACCACTGAGTGGTGGCCTTCACCAGGCTAGGTAGAAATCAGCATTATTTCAAATGACAAAGAAAACTACGTATCCAAGAAAGAAAATCTACACTGAATGACATGAAACACCAGTGAATTTCTGTAGTTGTTGATAGCTCGAAGATGATTAATAACCCTGAACTAAACTAAAAATAATTAAAACCACATTACTCATCCTCAGAGAACAAGGTAATCAAAGGAGACTTTGAAACTGAGCAAAAGCTGTCCTTCAGAAGAAATCTTTCCCCATCTTCCAGTGTTGACTGGTGAACAGCACTATTAGTCATTACACTCAATATAGTCGATGTCCTTCCTTGATTTTCCTGAGGGAAGAAGAGGCAGTAGGGAGAGCTGAATCATGAGTTTTCCTCATATTTTTCTTAATGAACAATTGTGTGTACTGCTGTTCTGGAACATGGCACCAGGTAATGTCAGTATGGTCACTGAATTGCATTAGAAAGATGACAAAAGTTCCCAAGCATGGATTCATATACTAAAAGCATAAACTTGCTATTAGAATGTGAAATGTCCAGCAATGCCTCCTGTCTTCAGAGCCTGCATTTGGTTTAAGTTAAACCTATAGTAAATATTTTCTCAGGATCATGCCTCCCTATTTCTGTAAATACCAAAGGATGTGAGGCAAAGCATCCCAGAATGTATGATTCGTGGTTATAAAATTTAGGAACGGTTAGCAGGGAACAGCACTGCAAAACCTCAAATCCTTGTGGTATTCTGTGCTGTGCTACATTAGTCCTAAGCCTAAATGAGCCTGCAGTGAAAGGGAAGCTCATCGTGGAGAAGAAAATAGCTTCTCTGCTCCAGTTAGGCAATATAAAACTGAAAGGTCACAGGGATATTAAACTCAATTTTTTTAAATATGTTTTTTTTTAACTAGTAAGAAATGGAAAAAGGGTGAGGGGGTTGTGGGTTTCTCTTTTGTGAAGTTTTTATGAAAGGAGCGAAGTGCAGTCAGGTATAGCTCTCTAATTCCACTGAGACCTGTGAGCAAGGCACTTACGATTGCTTTAACTCACAGCCACTGCCTTGTACTTGCTGAACACTGCATCCCTGAAGCTCCCAGTGCGCTGTTACATGTTGCTAACATCCCTGCGTGGCCTGGAGTCCTGAGTAGAAACCCCCAGGTTTTTAATATTAAATAAAACGAATGGGAGTGTTGAATGCCTGACGTCCTCAGGGCTTGGCTGTTAATGGACCCGGCACAGCACCAGGTGTAGGAACTGTTTATTTCATATTATCTTACACCCTCAGAGGGTCTTCTATGTGAAATGTCAAGGCAGGGGTGGAAGGAAGATTTTCTCAGGGTAAGAACTATTCTTGCAAGGGGGCCAACAGAAGCTACACCTCTGATGGAGACTTCTAAACATCGTCCAAACTATGCACTGAGAACTATGATATAGTGAAAGCTCTGGCTCTGACAGAAGCAGTACTGCAGAAAGAAAAGCAAAATTCATAAAAATGCATTTCAAAGAAGCCCCGTGATGCACTCTTTAATAACCCAGCCCCAGCTTCCCCCTCTCTCTACCACATCCTCATGACTCAGTTTCACCTCAGCAAACACTGCAGCAGAACGAGATGCATCCATCCATTCTATCCCATCCTGTCCTGTCCACCCCCAGCTGGCCGTAACCTGCCGAATGTCACAGTCATCACGTATGACAGAGGTATGACAAACGCCCCAAGGAGGGACTTATTTGCGACAGAAGATGTCGAGTGTCTCCCACCATAGCCTCACTTAGGTCTCAGTGCAGAAGAGAGCTGCAGCCTCCTGTGTCAGTGCTTTTCCTCATTTTTCCGGCTGTTATATCTGTTGTAGATGAGGTTGAGAGCAGAGAGATTAGAATAGCTGCAGTGGAAATACCTGCTGCTCATCTAGGCTCTTACACCCTGCTGCCTAAGACCTGTTGCAGGCAGGTGAGCGCCGTGGGCTCACACCAGCATGTGCTGGGGCTCTGGCTGCCTTAGCCTGGGTGCTGTACTGTGTTTGCAAGGCTGCTCGTCAGGCACCACTGACCCTACACGACAGAAAGGGGCAGGCCTCCCGGGGCGCATCTAAATGGGAAGGGAGGACTGATGCAAGAGTAGGCATACACTCAGGCTGGTCTTAATCTAACCAGACTGAGAAACAGCAGCCACAAGGACGTAGCAGCGCTGACCTCAGGGTCCCCCCCGAACAGCTCTGCAGGCTGGGGGAGCCCAGCACAGGGAGGGAGCAGCCAGCCAGCTGCCACTCGATGGCATGCATTTCACAGAGCAAAGCCTTCGTGCCACCTTGTGGCAGCTAGATTACAGCTGGGATGCCAACCCCCCTCCTGCTCCGTGGGCACACTCCGAATAAAACCACTTCGCCTCCAGCAAGCCATGGGGACGTCAATCTGTCACTTCAGGGGGGGTGCGAGCCCTCGCCTTCAGTATCCCCTTCAAGCACGTTAAAGTGCCTGAGTCATCCCGAGGAGCACTTGGAAGAAGAGGCCATTGGGTCTCCAAGGCGAGGGGAGCCCACAAGGGAGCCCACCCTGCTGGCTCTGCCCGTGAGACGCAGGGAAAATCACCTCCCGGGTTGGGTACGCGATGTTCCAGGCGAGCTCCAGGGCTGGCCACGGTGAGAAAAACATTTCCTTGTTCTCTCCCGGTGCATTACGAAAACCCACTAAAAGGAGCTTTTCGCACCACAAAACCTTTTAAAAGGATTCTGTCAACACAAAAGCAAACATTGACGGCAGTTTCCTTTAAAAGTACTCGAGTCTTCATACTCTGGAAAACACTTCTTCATTTTATATTATTTATTTATTTATTTGTACTTTTCCAGACTTAGTCTATCCTCAGGCTTCAGAGAAATATATTCTGTAACTGCATGAGTAAGGAAACATGTCGTGAGATTAATTCCCGTAACAATTTCAAGGCAATTTGTAAACACAGTCTTTGCAAATTGGATATTCAAATACATAGGCCTCTGCCTCAGTGCTAATATAAAATTGCTGTAGGGAAAATTTACCAGAGGCATCAAGAGGAGGACAAGTCCCATTAGCACATGGTGGCCATGGCCGAGGTCACATCACCAAATGATCACTACTCTCTCCTATATTTACTTCTCCTTCTCTTTTACCCTTCATCCACAAGTATCAGCATCCTGGCACTGGCTGACAGGATGCAGAAAGCTGATTTTCCTAACACAGATTTTCCTCTGCTTTTGATGATATTAAGAGGCAAGTTGCCACACAGAGAGAAGCATGCCCATCTCGTATACTTCAAGTACATTGCTGCCATTGCTGTCTCTGGGAGAACATATGGACGTGGCACCACGTTCACCTTTTTCATCTCTCAGCAATTAGGTAAGTCATTTTTCTTAGAAGGAGTGGGCACTCAGAGCTCTGTCTCCTGAAACTTCTCCCTTGGCTCTCATTCTGATCATCTCATTACTGTAAAGCTTGTGCTTCATATAGAGCAATTTCAGCACAGGAATTTGCAAGTCAAAATAGCCAATTAGTTTATAAATTACCAGACTGCCATATTTTGGAGATTGCTTACAGCTCTGGTCACTGCAGCATGCAGTTAAGAATGAAAAATCTAGAAGATGTTAGTGTTGGTGCTGCTGAGAAGGAATTGTGTGCTACTGTTTTTGCACTGAAAGAAACTAGTATTACAGTAAGAAGAACCCACTGGTTTGGAATAGTACCAACCACCAACTTATTTTGTGTTTAAAAAGCTTTTTATGGTCATTCAATAGGAAGCATCAAAGATGCTAGTAGCTAAAAATTAGTCATCCTGCACCAAAATATCCTGCTTCCAGAAATAATCATGCAAGTGATAAAACTTGGGTCAGCTGATGCTTTGCAAAGAGTTTTTAATCTCTAACAAGAGGGCAATCTACAGCTTGCGTCAGTACCTTGTCAATCAGAGATAACCAACCTGCTTGGACAGCTAGTAAAAATGAAATTTCAGATGTTCAGAACCAATTCATCCTGTGAAGACTTTGGAGCTCAGGTTGACAGTTGATCCCGACACCTGTCAATAACAATTACTTTGCAATGGTATGTGATAACAGATCCCAAAAGTGATCCCCTACACTCAAAGGCAGTCACTAGAGAACATCCTTTCTTAAGAAATAGTTATCAAAAAAATCTCAAAATGCAAAATACAAAATTCAACATCACTTTTTTCTTTTTTTTTTAAGAATTAAAATGCTGTGTCCAAAGAAGAAGCAAAAATACTTCATCTCACTGCAATACAATCCCTGAAGAACCACACCAGGACTGCAACATACTAAACATTGAAGATTATGAAGGACCATATGGAACTTACTGCATCTGAGGAACATTAACTCTGGATCATGTGGAAAAGTCTAAAATAAGGACATGACTAAGCTGGCCTCTTTAATGACTAGAAAAAGAAACAAAATGGAAAACATCCACCTTCTAGGCTTCACCCTGTGCAGTGACCTGGAAAAGAAAACCTATTGGCACCAGCAATCAAGCTTTCCTGTATTATCTTCCCAGGAGGTTGATTGCACTGTCCTAAATGTGGGTGACTGCTTGAGGTCCAAAATTCTTTACACTGGTGCTATTTCTCTGAAATCCAAACATAATTAGAAAAGCAGAAATATACAGTGGTAGCCAGTATACAGTATAGCATACCATAACAACAGTAAAGAATTTCCAATCAAGCTGGGTAAGAAACAAAGCTACCAGCCTGCCAGCTGTGAATTTCATGATTTTCAAGGTACCTTTTACAAAAAAAAAAAAAAAAAAAGTAGCAAAATGTTTCAGAAATCAGAAAATCACTGCAGTATTACCTTTGTTTCTCCCAAATGGGCAATCTTTGCAGTTATTTCGAATGCAAAAACCACACATATTCTTGAAGTACCACTCACCAGAACTCATTCTTTTCTGTTCTATTTTTAAGAAGTTCTGGTTTTGTCTTGCATGTATGACTTGATCAAAGGATGCTTTAAAATTAAACTTCTGAAACCAACAACAGCCTTTATGCATTCTAAATAGTTAGGTGATGTGTTTGTTTCATTCATATTTCTAACTTACTTCACTCTAAAATTAACAAAGAACAGCAAATGTTCTTCCAATATTAGAATATCACACTGACAGAGAGTTTCTCAATGTTCCCCTCAGATTTTTATTCACATTAGGATCAAACCATAATGTACTGGCTAGTACGGGCAGCGTATTATACTAGGCACTGTATGCACCTGCTTGAAACAGCTCTGGTCCAAAGACTTCACAATCTGAACAGAGAGGATAGAGATGAATGAGCAACTGTAGGAACAAGAGTGATTGCTTTCCCTGTACAGGGAAAGAAAAATAGAGGCAAATTGGTCTCAAAGTGGGAGATCAACTCCACATCTCCACTTTTACTGTTCTGTCTCTTTCACCACAGGACTTTGCAGTACACATATGGGGTTTTGTTTATTTGCTTGCTTGATGCTTGTTTGTTGTTTCTTTTTTTCTTTCTTTTCTTTTTTTTTTCCCCTCTTCCTTTGTTATGATGAATACAGAAAGAGATGTAGGGATTTAATAAGGTTTGCTCTCAATGGCAGATTCCAGCAGGAGATTATAGGGAATATTTTCTGGGGAATACAAATCCAAAGTCTCTGGCCAAATTTGTGCCTGTCAGCTAACCAGCAATATTATTGTGGTGTTAGCTACCTCACTTGCAGTATTCACACTGGAAGCAGAGATCAAACTGTATGGACATTTTTCCTTTCAACCTCAATAAACAAGCATTCCTGCTGCTTGCACTCCTGTGGGGAATTCACATTCAGCATTATCATTTCCAGTTCCTCAGACTACCAAGTATTGTTGATGTCCTCTCTATTTCATACCAGACAGCAGAGCAGAAGTTGATTTATTTATTTATTTATTTTATCTACAAGCTTGTAAATCCCCCTGGAGGCCTTAAGGAGGAAACCATATCAAGTTATGTAAGAAAAGAACAGTAAAATTGACATGAAATTTGCGTATATCCATAGTCTTATAACTGCAGTGAAGGTCAGCTAGTAATAAAGATGACATGTACTTGTCCATATTTCACTTTATATGCTAATTCAACACAGCTTTTTTATTATAAGGTTTGGAAAAAATACTTTTCTGTAATTATATGTTGATCCTTCATCTTAATCACATAATTTTACATGGAAACCTTTCTCAAGAAAGATTGGTTAATATTTATAAAGTGCATTAAAGATAAAAGAACTCTATACTTATACATTTTATTGCATTCATAGCATTCTTATAAGCTTAAACCTAAAGTGAATGTTTCTTCTCATGAACTCTAATCTGAACTGAGAAACTTTTTAGCAGTAGAGGTTTTTCTTCACTTGTATTGAAAGCTTCAGCCCTGAGGTGATGAAATCACCCTGAATGTCACATGGAGAGAACACCATTCAGTAAGCAGTGATTTTCTAGTTGGAAAGACCAAGAAAGTAATTTGTGGCCTTTTACATCTTTAATGCAGGACAGAGTTTAGTCATTTTGGACAGAGACAGATTAGATCTGTCTGGGTGAGTAACCTGAGGGCAATTCATTAATTAGGGAGAACATTCAGCTGCATATGGGAAAATTGGGAGGAAAACACATTTGTGAATGAATGAATGACAGCATCAACAATTTCTTCTCAATATTTGTATTTATGCTGTCATAAATGCTTGATACTATTCCACAACCCCATCATTCATTTTTGAAAATTCCAAAAGCACCTTTGGAAGTACAGGTGGATGAACTCCACACAACAAATCCTATTCCAAATTGCTCTTATCCAGCTCCTCATGATTCATTTCAGATTTGCAGTGCATGGTGTTTTGGCCAAGACAAAAAATGTGGTTAATTGACACATGAAACCTGGTTTGGGAGCTGAATAGCCTTTCTCGTGGGTAGCTGTACCCAGAGCACTGGTGGTGGGTGGTAAGCAAAATAAAAGGTTGGACTCAGCAGTGAGAGAAATGAGGAAATTAAATAACTTTTATGAAGCTGGTAAATATCTGGTGCTTCCTCTCAATCTGCAGATTTCTGATGAATAAGAATGCTTGCAGAAATCATATTTAATACAGCCAAAATAATGAATGTCATTATACCAGTCACCATTTTCCTGTTCTCTTGACAAAAATGATTGTTTAGAGACTACAAACTGAGGCAGCTTGAAATCAGCTGTCCTTAAATATGATGGGAGGGGAAGAAGGGTTGACAGTGCAGTAGATTCTCCTTTAAAAGATTTTTTTTCCCTATACACCGTGCTTCAGAGATCAGACACATCATTTCCGTTTGCAGTTAATTTCATTACTGACAGATGTAGAAGATATTGAGAGAGGGGAAAAGAAAACAGCTAAGCAAACAGAATTCTCTGTTTAACATGAGAACTGAGCTTGTCAATGTTTTCCTCTACTTGCTTTACAAATGAAGAAATCCTGGCTCTCACACTTAGGCAACCTGGAATCTGCCAAGGCTTTTAAAATATTGTAAAGAAAAAAGAATTAATAAGCTAGATTTTCTATTGATATTTTATATCTTTAAATTTCAGCCAAGGTGCTTGGACTAGAAATAATACACCAAAGTCCTTAGACATCAGGTGAGCAGTGGGTGTAGTTTTTTTGTAGACACAGAAAGGAGCATAGCTTGGTGCTGCTGCACAGTGCTTCCCTAAAGTGATCAACACTGTCTCTGGGTTAGATAATTCTCCTGTCCCCAACCACCTCAAGTTTCACTCCTCATTCCTCACAAACCAAAAATATTTGCAATGAAGATGGATGAAGACAAATAAAGTAGGCCAAGACTTTGGTGTCTTAAATCAATTAATTAACCAGGTTTGTCAGCCTAAACTACTGATCGTGAGTTCCAGCCTATGGACCTGTTTATTGTTCTCTTAAAATTGAATCTAAGCATTCTGTGCTTAATCTAGTAGCTTGTGCTTTCTGCATTGCACAAGAGAGCTACATAGGTTGCCCTCAAACTGCCCCTGCTTTTAAGGCAGGAAAGAGGAGGCTTTGTAAGTAATAATAAAGACCATAGCAAGGCGAACCATATATAAAGTTGACTCAGTCTACCACCTGCCTCAGAACCAGTGCCACAAAGAAGGCACAGAGGGTGTAAGTCAGTAGAGACTCCTCTCTGAGAGGCACTGAGGCACCCATTTACCATCCAGATAATCTCTCCAGAGACGTTTGCTGCCTGCCCGGGGCCAGCATACACAATATTATGAAGAAGCTGCCAAGTTGGGTGGGTCCCAAAGACTACCATGCCTTCCTACTTTTTCACACAGGATGAAACAAGGTCCAATGGATGGTCCATTCAGTGGATAAGGAATTGGCTGAAGGCTGAACGCAGAGAGTGGTGGCCAATGGCTCCATGTCCAGGTGGAGGCCGGTGACAAGTGGTGTCCCTCAGGGGTCTGTCCTGGAACTGGTGCTCTTTAATATCTTTATCAACATAGACAGTGGGATCAAGTGCACCCTCAGCAAGTTTACAAATGACTAAGCTGTGGGGTGTGATTGATACAGCAGAAGGAAGGGATACCATCCAAAGGGACCTGGACGAGCTTGAGAAGTGGGCCCATGTGAACCTAATGAGATTCAACAAGCCCAGCTGCAAGGTGCTGTACCTCGGTTGGGGCAATCCCAGACACAAGCACAGACTGGAAGAACTCACTGAGAACAGCCCTGCAGAGAAGGACTTGGGAGTTCTGGTGAACAAAAAGATTGACAATAGCCAGCAGTGTGTGCTTGCAGCCCTGAAGCCAACTGCATAGTGGGCTGTATCACCAAAGGAGTGGTCAGCAGGTGGAGGGAGGTGATTGTGCCCCTCTGCTCTGCCCTTGTGAGGCCCCACCTGGAGTGCTGCATCCAGGTCTGGAGCCCCCAGTGTAAGAAGGACGTGGGGCTGTTAGAACAGGTCCAGAAAAGGGCTACAAAGTTGATGAGAGAGATGGGGAACTTCAACCATGAAGAAAGGCTGAGATAGCTGGGGTTGTTCAGCCTGAAGAAGAGAGGGGTCTGGAGTGACCTTATGCAGCTTTTCAATACATAAAGGGAGCTTATTAAAAAGATGGAGAGTGACTTTTTACTCAAGCAGAAAAAGAGAGGACAAGGGGGAATGGTTTTAAAATAAAAGAGGGGAGATTTAGGTTAGATGTTAGGAGGAAATTCTTCACTCAGAGGGTGGTGAGGCACTGGCACAGGCTGCCCAGAGAAGCTGTGGATGCTCCATCCCTAGAAGTGTTCAAGGCCAGGTTGGATTTGGTCCTGGATAACCTGAACTAGTGGTTAGCATCCCAGTGCATACCAGGGAGTTTGGAACTAGATGACTTTTAAGGTCCCTTCCAACATAAGCTGTTCTATGATTCTATGACTCTATGATTCTATGAAATCTGTATCACTGGTGTACATACAGCTTTCTATAATTAGGATGGAAACACCATATCTGAATCTTCGGATATTACCTTTGGTAGAAAAGTTCAAGATTCTGAAGCATTAAGGATAACACGAACTGAATTACAAAGAATTTGGTAAAGGCTGGGTTAGAATATAAACAGATTTTTTTTGCTGAGCTTTCTTGAAGCTTTTTATTATTATTATTTCTTTTAAAAGCAATGCCTCTAATTGACAGATCAAGACTGCTCCAGATGCAGGACAAAAAAAAAAAAAAAAAAAAAAAAAAAAAGTTTAAATAGGAAAGTTAGACCTGAGGTTCTTAAGAGCAGAATTTAGTTTCTTAGTTTCTGAGGATTGTGTTTCCTCTTGGATGAGTAAAGTAGAAGAGGTAGAAAGTTACAATTGTTAATAACAATTTAAATCATGGGCTTACACAGCAGGATAGCTCACCAAATGAACATCAGTTTTATGCTTCTTCCTGTGTCTTCCTAAAATGTCGTTCCCTGTACTTCCCCAAAATAAAGGCAAAGAGTAAAACCAATGATAACACTGAGAGGGATCCACAACTGGAAGGACAGTTGTTTTAGAGGTCAGGTTCAGGTGCGTTGCCAGTCTTGGAGTTTACGCAGTCGATTCTCTTGCCGTGTCTATTAAATTCTATGTCAAAAATCAGCCAGATGAAGTACAGACTTACACTGTCAGAGCTGCAGCTGATTCCTGTGTATAGGAACATATCTTTTTATGGAATCCAGGACTTATTTTGAATGTGTTTATGTTAACATCATAAATCATCCTTCATCCAGAACTGCACATTGTATTTTGGGATCCTGATGTCAGAGAAATATGCATATGAACAGAAGTACCTATTGCCAATTTGGGCATCAGAAGAGGTACTCAGGTTTTCAAGTGCCTGGCATTGGGTGTTGGGTTTATCTGAAAATTTGGACAAAAATATTGCAAAGGTGAGTTCCTAAATTCTTGAAAATCGTTATCTTTTTGTAGATGGGTGCTGAATTCTTTTGATAATCTCTCTCTTAGTAACTAGCTGAAAAGCAATCTGTTCAGCAACATACAGAAGAAATAGAATGCCAGAAAAGACAAATCGTAACACGTAATTAGAGAAATAATTTCATATGGGCATGCACAGAAATCCTCTGTGAATCTCCTGAATCTGAATTGTCAGAAGTTAGCATTATTTTAAGGCTGTTTTTTTTTAATTACACTATAAAACCTTATAAAATGTCACAGAAGCTTCAGTTAATATTGGACTGGAAGCAACATATAAAAATGTAAAGAATCATAAAACAGAAGTGCCTAAAAGGAAATCAGACACTATTAGCAAATGAATTCTGCATGTGTTTGACAAGAAGGGGCACAAGAGAATTAGTTATGCAAGTTGTGCACATACTTATGGGAAAACAGATGCTTACAGACTTTAAGACAGAAAACCAAGTACAAAATCCTTCAGATACTGTAGTTACTTTAGTACAGTTTGAATGGACCTCAGGTTAGCAATTTTGAATGTGTCATAGTAATAAATAAAATCCTTGGCAGAAAGTAAAACTGTGATAGCTTAAAAGAGGAATTCCTTGAGGAAATCTGAGAGGTGGAACAGATGTTCCATTCTTCAAACAAAATGTGTTCAGCAAACCCATGTATCCACTGTTGTTTAATTGCAGATCAGTCCATCCTCCATTTTCACAAGGTGAAGGAGACACTTGTTTACTGATGGAAGAGTGTTAACGGTTACTCCTTTTTCAATAAATATTTCATTATATAACTACAAAGAGCGACAAATGAAACCTCCAAACACAAGCTAATAGGTTCAAGGCTTAATG